ACACGTATGACTGGAATGAGTGAAAGAAGAAAACAAAGAAGATAGTAGCTATTGTATGGGGGGAAAGGGGGTGGATGGGGGAATTTATGTACGTTTAAGAATACTGCACCTGAATTTGCTAAAGGGCAACTACAGCTACGATTCTTTTCAGATGCAGATGACATGAAACTACTTTGCCAAAAATAAGGAAGAAAAAAAGAGAAATGAATGTCTAAAAGGAGAGTATGTCTGAAGGGGAAAACCTCTCCCTCTCATATATCATCTCTAAATTTCATTAAGAAATCTTAGAATAAACTTAAGGAATTTAGATTTCCTGAGGGATTACATCTCTTTGAGGAAACAGCTTTTCCCCCCATATCTCTCTATCAGAAGAGAAACGAATTATTGAAATAAAAACTGAAAAAGACTATGCATCCTAAATAACAGGCCAACTAAATTGTTCTTAAACTAAATCAGGGTGTGGAATCTGTAGCCCTCCAGATGCTTCTGGGCTACAAGCTTCATCATTCCTTATTCTTGGCCAAGAAACATCTGGAGAATAGGATTCCCCACCCCTGAACTAGGTTAAGCTTGTGGCAAACTAAGTCAAATACTGTACATTGTCAAACGACTGCCTAGGCCAGTGTTTCTTAATTTTTTTTTCTCTCAGAACCCCTTCCCACTTTTAAAAATTCTGGAGGTTCCCAAAAGAGCTTTTTTTGTAAGGTATATTTATCAATATTTACTGTATTAAAAATGAAAACTGATGCATTTGCTGCTGCTACCGCTTCTCACAATTGTTTGATGGGATTTTAATATTGTATTATTTTTCAACATAGGCTGGCAAAAAAAAAAAAAAAGTTGATTCTGTGGAACCCCTGAGAGGATCTTGAGGGACCTCCAGGGATCCCAGGACCACACTTCAAGAAACACAACTTAGACAATTCCTTGCTTAGAACCCTTTTTTAACTGTACAGGGCAAATGTAAGCATGTTTATATGGGAAAAATGGGTGGGGAGTAAGCAGGTTGTGTCTGTGCATGAGCGTTGTGAATGTGTGTGCATGTTTGTTCTTCTATCTGCTGTTGCCATTGCCATCATATTTCACATTCAACTTATACAATAGGAAAAGATCTGGTTCCTGCAGGAGACTGAGACAGAAAAATCCAAGTCTTCCTTTGCACTGATTGTGGTTCTTATATCTAAGATCTGAATAAACCCAACCGATTCTGGATCTTATCCAACACTCCAGGCTAAACTTACTGATCACTCAGCGTGGCTTGCTTCATGCCTAACTACCAAGATTAGAAATGAACTTGGAGACAATTCTGGAAAAATATCCTCCAGCAAATTCCCCTGTGTCAATGTTTTGCAAATATTCTCCTAATCTCATTTTCATTCAACAGTTCCAATTATCTTTAATGTAAAGATTTTAGATTAAAGCAAAGTGTAAATTTATGAAATTTACCAGCATGAACTTCTGCTTTGCTGCCTTTAAACAAGGCAAGAATTGCATTTTTAAAAACTGCTGATTAGTCTCTATGATCAAAAGTGAGGGTTTTTTTAATGAAATTCAAAAATTAAAATGTGGGTTTCTAAAATGAGCAGCATTTAAATTTTATTTTAAAAATATGTTTTAAAATATTGAAAAATATTGTTTTATGTAGTTACTGATTTAACCTGGTCTGAGTTCCTTTATACCTAGTGAACGCAGTAAAGTTGTAAATGTCAAAAATAGGTGGGCAATTATTTTCTATATTGTTTATCCACATCTAATAGGCATCCTTCCTTAACTCAATCTTATTGTCTGTTGTGATATTTAAAATAAATGGAAACTACCTCATTAAGCTCTAATACATTAGGTGCCCTATGGGATAAATGTATTAAGACATTATTCTTTTTACAATTACTTTTCTCCCTTCTGATGTGTGTTTACCTGTGGCATTTTGGCAATTTACTTACTGTGTTTCCTTCAGTGATTGTCTAAAAGTGATGAACAGTCTGACTCAACTCCCGGGAGCCAATCTTGTAATATGTAGTTTGGCTTTCCTCTGCTCTGAATAAATTTTTGCAAATGCAGAATCCAAGATGTATGTAAAACCCTCTGTTCCAGAAATAGAACATTCTAGAGAACTCCAGAACACCCTGTTTCTCTTCTGGACCACACCAGGTTGAGGGTGATCAATCTTCCAAATCAGAAAAGGTTTGTGGCATTTCAAACATAATCCAGCCCAAGGCAGGCCTTATAACAAATCCAAGTATATACAACCAGCCCAAGTAATACATAGTAAGCATTGGTTCAGTGATCCCATTGTAATATATAACAGGAGAGCAGCAATGATAGCCTTTGAAAACTGTTATTCCTACTCAACCCCACTCATAACTCTGCTAAATTATTCTGGGAGTACAAATGTTCTTTAAAATTGAATGCCGCAGAAGTTACTGTGTTTCTATGGAATTTCAGTAGTTCAATTTTTTTTTTCCTTCTTCTACTTAGTTTCACATTATTTTTAAAAAAAACAAATGTCTATGCCACATATACAATATTTTCGGATGTGTTGCTGTGAGACTAGATTTCATCCCAGCCAACCTCCCCATAGTCAATTATCATCTCTGGAGAACTCCAGAAGTGCACAGTTATACATCTAATCTAATTTATTGACATTTTGTGGTTTCTCCATCTCTTGCTTTTTGTAGCATCTCACCTGATAAAGGGTGCTGATAAACATGAATGCTTACAAAATCTTTTGTATTAGTTTGATTGTTTCCAATAAAGATATTGGCCAAATTTTAACACTGTTCTTATTCAGGAGCTGGTAGCACTTATGGTACAGATAAGTAACCATGTAGCTGGGCACCCTTTCATTAAAAAAAAAAAAAATCTGAAGATTGCAGGGCACATGGCAAGTAATCAGGTAGTATCAGAGTGGGTGGAGAGAAAATAAAATGACTGATGGGGGGAGGTTTAAAGGGGAAAAGTTACTCATTTTGCCTCTTATGTTAGAAAAACAACTGAAAAAGACAAGCAATTTTGAGATGCTTGGAGTGAATGCCCAAATTTAAACGTTTCTGGTCTACTGCAGCTAGAGGCTACACTGAATGGAGAAAGAGTGGTAATGAAAATGTGTGTGTGTGTGCCTTCAAGTCAGTCTTGACTCCTGGCAACTGCCTGGACAAGTCTCTGCAGATTTTTCAGAAGTGGTTTGGCATTGCCTGCTTCCTAGGGCTGAGAGAGAGTGACTAGCCCAAGGTCACCTAGCTGGCTTCATGCCTAAGGCAAGACTAGAACTCACAGTTTCCTGGTTTCTAGCCTGGTGCCTTAACCACTACACCAAGCTGGTACTCCAATGAATATTGAAAATGCTTGTTCTTTAATATAATGTATTGTTGATCTTTAGGCTGAAGGGCTATGACATTGTGGTGAAGGGTTCAGAATACTAGCAAGTATTCTGAAAGGGCCACATCAGCTGGATGGTACAATGTGCCCTCTCAAGCCTACAGCAGGGCTAGAAAAGGGTTATAATGGGGTAGTAACATGTGGCCAAAAAAAAAAAAAAAAAAGCTAATGTATAAAACCGGTATGATAGCAACTGCAGAAGGGTTTTTTTTTTTTTTTGTAAAGGATTTGGTGAAGAATCTGGAGCTAAATAGAGCGGAAAAGTATATTACTTCATGTGGTATTGATATGAACTGGACTTTGTTTCCCACCACTATCACCACCACTTTCACTATCCACAAACAGATGGCAAAGCTAGGGAGATTTTGTTCAGACCTAAGTTATCTGTTACATGCAAACATGGGGAAAGAGATTAGGTAGAAAATCATCTTGTGGATTAGACCAAAAATCTCTCTAGTCTAGGGTCCTGTTTCCCACAGAGACGAGCCGGACGCCTGTGAGAAACCCACCAGCAGAACATGAAGCGCAAGCAATTGCAGGCTGCCTCTGATCCTTGAGTTAGGATATAGGCTTCATAACTAGTAACTGTTCAAAGGGGATTTGTTTAAAATCCCCCCTGGAAGCCATCGAAGTTGGTGGCCATCACCCCATACTGTGCTAGCAATTTCATAGATCTAGTATATCCTGTGGATAACAGTCTTTCAGGGTTTGTTGTGGTTGTTGTTCTGAATTTTCCACTACTCACTTTCACTGGATGACCCCCAATTCTAGAATTATGTACTCCATGCATTATTTTATAAATAAGCTCCTAGCAACCTATACCCACTGTTCAGTTGCACATAGATAGTTTCCAACTGTTGTTTATTTGATACAGTGAAGCTGCAAGGATTGAAACATAACAATAGAAACGGTGCAAGACAAAGTGGGAAGAGTGTAGAGGTTTCCTGCTTCTTTTCTGCATAGTTAAAGGTCATGATTTTTAGTATAAAACTGGCATTTCTCCTCTCATCCTATTCTGATCTGCTTTAATTTGCAACTTCCACAGCACTGTTGTCCATCATCAGACTCCAAAGACATCTGATTCTACAGTATGAGGACAAATAAATGTCCTTTCACAGATTGCCCTGTGAACAGCTCCTGAGGAAGGAAACATGTTTGGGGCAGTGTTTCTCAGCCCTGGCCACTTGAAGATGTATGGACTTCCTCCCAGAATTGTCGCAGCTGGCTGGGGAATTCTGGGAGTTGAAGTCCACACAACTTCAAGTGGCCAAGGTTGAAGAACACTGCTTTGGGGAATGGTTTCTCTGTTAGTCATTTGTTGCACTGTCAAACAAACACTAGTAACAAAGTATAGCCAACCAAGTATCACATGACCAATTTATATAGAGGAGGACCAGACTTTTTATTTTTTAAACTATTTTGGGACTATGTCCACTTTGCTGATTTAAGTTCCCTGCCCATGGACCAGAAAATGTGAACTAACTCATGGCAATGAAGTACAGCAAGAGAATGATCATATTTGCCTCATTAGCACACAATCAAACAAGCAACTCAGAGCAGCCACATTTATCCTTATCAACAGCAAAACTGGCAACTAATTGCCTTTCTCGTGCCTATCTGCTCACCTGATAACATGTTATCTGTTTTCAGTGAAGGAAACTTCAAAGTCATTTCATGTTTGTGTCTGTGAATCATCAGATGGTCCTCTGTTGGAAAGCGCTAGCAGGAAAACACAAAAGAAAAATTTCAGCTGCTGAAATAAATGACTGGAAATTGACTTTTTAATTTTTAGAAAAAAATATTCCAGGCATTAAAATGACACAGAAGGAATGTGAGGAATGGGTGGAATCAAATGGTAGAAGCAGCTATGACTGAAAACTCTCTTCATTTGTTGCCTGAATCTTACATTTGAAAGGAATATATTTCCCATAATGATAAAAGCTCGCTAAAGTGCATTTTCCTTTTGTTGGTCTTTGGTTTTTGCTTTTCTGTCTCTCCTTGCTACTTGTTAATTCATTTTGGGGTATACAGTCATATGAACATATTTCAAAATTATCTAATGATATTATTATCCATTTGGAAAAAGTTCCGCAAATGGGTGAGGCAATGTTTAATGGGTCTGCATGAAGCAAAGGTGGTACTTTGCAAAGCAGATTAGCACAAGCTGAGCACCCTCCCTCAAAGCATTAAAGCAGTTGTGTGCACCGGGAGGGAAGCACAACAGCTTTGCAGATTGTCTAGACATGGGTTCAGAAGCAATACTTCAGCTGGGACTGCGTCCTTTGCACACCACCCTGTACATCCTATTATTTAACACTATTTCACGCATATGAAACTATCCTTTTGTAAACATCCCCTGGGATTTTTTTTCCAAATTGAGTATGGCAGGTGACAAAGCAATGCTATGTACGGAAGAAGAGGAGATCTTCCTCAGAATTATCTGGCACGCATAGTTCTTCCAGGACATCAGGCAGGAAAGGATAATTATCCAACATTATCAACTGTTCCGTTTTTCAGATATTTCCTTCAGGGCAACTGTTATATAACTCTTATAGTCTATTCAAGTTTAAAACTTAGGTTGCATTAATATAATAAAACATTTTAATGAAGAAATGTATCCTGTGGGTATAGCTTGCTTAGGTTTGTGAGTTACTATGAGGCATGTCCATTGACATTGAATAGAATAGCCATATATATTATGTATTTGTGTTTTATGGCATGAAATTGCAAGAGGAAAGAGCACTTTAAAATGGTACAATAAAATTCGAAATTATTAGATACATGTTAGTATGGTGGAACTATGCTACAGCTATATTCTTGCTGGTTTAACTCACCTGTGAGCAGCCTGGGGCACTGCAGACAAAAGGCCTCTCTTGTTCCAAATTCATTTTTGATTCTTCATAAATCTACACATAAAAAGAAAAAAGAGGAAGGAAAAAAAACCCATAAATATAGTCATCCGTAACTTTAGCAGATATGGAAAATACAAGCCAGCCTTCCCAATCTGGTCTCTCCAGATGTGATAGATTATATATTTCAACCACATGGCTGCTGCCAATGCTTACTTGGAAGTTAAAATAAATATTACAATAGCCTAGGTACATTCAAGAAATGCAAGTCAGTTTGCATTTAAGTCTGCATTTTAACATTAATTTTCCCAATTCAATTTTTTTGAACTTCCTTAAGAGCTGAAATGCAGTTAGACTCCAATACCCACATTTTCTAAATTTTGCACTGCAGACTTACCAATTAGAAAGGGTTTACAAAAATTTATACTAGGGGAAAGTGTGACATAGACACATTCTATTAGGGGAAGTTGTAAAAATATGTCTGTTAGGAAAAGTAGGTGACAAGTGTATATATGAAGATAAAACCCAAAGGAAAAAGTATATGCCTTAAGATAAAACTTAAAAAAATAATTTAACAGGTATGTTTATATAGACTTCTCAAAAGACATCTGATGTATAAATAGATCTGAATAAATTTAAGGGCAGAAAAATTAGAAATCAAAGTTGAAAATATCAACTGCTCCCACCAAAATATTATAGAACTTCAGAAGGGAAATTCAATATTCTAACTTATAAATACTGTATTCCCCTGAAAGGAAGATGACCCTGAATTTAAGATGATTCCCACATTCCAGGATATTTAAACAAAAATATTGTTTCATTGAGAATAATTTAGTGGAGACAATCTAAGTTGGTCCTTCAATTTTAAAAGAAAATTATTTGGGGAGTGGGAGACTAGTCTGCCTTTGAATACAGTATCTGAATACAGTATCTGAATCTCTGCCTGAGAAACAGTCTGTCTGCCTGCAGATAACCCTTCAGCTACTGTTGGAAAATTGCTTATCATGTTTTAGACTAGAAAGTGCTTTGTCTCTCTTTGTTCATCTACATAGATGAACATGGAAATGGAAGATGATAATTTAAAGCTTGTTAGTTTTCCATTTCCAACAGTTTTCCATTTGGTCCAGCTTAGTCCTTCCACTCTGTCCACTTTGAAACATTTCTACAGTAATATTGTTCTGTTATAATCAGAAGACAAATTAAATATATGAAAAATATTCTCTTCCATATGTAGCTTCGTGCTATTTTAGGATTTACAGTCCTGGCTGATGCAGCAAATTCTTTTTCTCAGAGACAGGTTGGGATCTTCCCATATTTCACTGAATTATGACTTGGCATGTTCTTTCAGTTGGAAGTTATTACAATTATTTCAATCTCTGACTGTGAAAATATCAGAATGTTTGGACTGCTTCAACCAATAAAAAAATATGTGGAGTCCTTGGGGTTCTCTGGGCTTGGTTCTTTTCTTGCAAATGTTTCATTATCCAGCT